TAGAGCCCTGTCCAAGGCTGGGCAGGGAGGAGCGTGTCACAGGGCTTTGCAAAAGTGGCTACAGTTCACATAAGTGATGAAGAAGATGTTTGCTCTACACATGTTAGAGCCCTGTCCAAGGCTGGGCAGGGAGGAGCATGTCACAGGGCTTTGCAAAAGTGGCTACAGTTCACATAAGTGATGAAGAAGATGTTTGCTCTGGCACAATCCCAGCCATGCAGGGTGGTCCAAAGAGCAGTAAGCTGGGGTTCAACAGCCCCAGCTCTGTCGCTTACCAGCTGTGTGACCCTGGTCAAGTCCCTGCCCCTCTCTGAGCTTCAGTCCGTTTGTCTTGTGAAGGCAATCAGTCCTCCACTGTGCAGTGAGGGTTGGTGCAGACAACGCTGACAGCAGCCAGCACCTCAGACGTGGCCCTTCCCATGTGCCAGGCTCTGTTCTAGGGAGTTTACATCTATGAACACATTTCATCCTCTCGGTGACCCGAAGAGGCAGATCTTACTATTAGCCCCATTCTCCAGATAAGGAGACTGAGTCACTGCGTGGTTAGATGGAACTGGGTCAGGATTTGAACCCAGGCAGTCTGGCTCCTGAGCTGGTCTCCCTTAACCCCTGGGCTCTTCATGATCCATTCCCTGACTACCTGGTAGACTCACAACACGTGGCAGCTTATTGTTGCTGTTCACTCCAAAGCTGGGAACCAGGCTGGGAAGCTGCGTTGTGCATTCACAGTGCTTTGGAAATGCAGGGCCCTTGCTTGCTGCAGAAGAAAGGCGCTCTTTGAGGTGGTGTTCCTTGCAGCCTGCGGCTCCGGGCCTTGCATTCCGTGGATTTTTGGCCCCTGACTTGGGCTTGGCAGCCACTGCCTCATTGTTCTGCACTTGGCAGGAGCTGCGGGATCCTGGGGATAGGCAGCTCCCCGTGTTACCCGGAGGTGCCTGCATGAAGGGACCAAGGGTCTTTACCCTGCTCCCCATGTCTCGTCCCTCCAAATCCCCCTTGCCTTAGTCTTTCTGCATCTGCACACCCTGAGAAGCAGTTTCTGGCAGGAATTTCCAGGGTAAGGGGCTTGGGTTTCTGCTGAGGTATGGACCAACAATGCAAATTTCCTAAAATCCAACATCCCCAGAGAGCCCCAAGAGGCAGCGTATTTCTCGAAACGAGGAAGCACTTTGGAATCAGTGAAATCTGGGTTTGAATCCCCCCTCCACAGCTTATTAGCCAAATGGCGTTGAGCCTCCCCTCTCTGAGTCTTAGCTTCCCCATCTGTAAAACAGGTCTACCAACAGCCCCGAGGGTGAATGTGAAAGACCTGGCCCGCTGAAAGTGCTCAGAGAACCTTTACTTTCTAGAATTTTCCTCCCTTCCTTTCCTCCTTCCTTCCCTCCCTCCCTGCCTCCTTCCTCTTTGTAGTGACTCTCTCTAGCACCTGGTGGGCAGGGATTTGCAGAGTCCTCAGCTGCTGCTTTCCTGCAACAAAGGCCCCTCCTCCTCCCTGGGGAACGTGGTGCAGCAGGTTTCATTAGGTTCTGGACAGAACAGCTCTTAGTAATATACCAAGGCCCCAGGGGTCTGGCAGAAAAGGTGGTGTGGACGGTAGTGCTTCATCAGCTGCAAGCAGTCTGCAGGGCAGGGTCTGTGGGGGCTGCTGCCTGTGGGGCTCCTGTGAAGGAAGTGGTCTCTGTGGTCTGCCGGCCCTGGGATCGCCCCTGTGCGTCAGCACAGGCCCCATTCTTGAATGGAGAGGGGACTTGTTCTGCAGGGATCCAGCAGAAAGGAAGATGATGTATTGCTGTGTAAGAACCTGTGAGGGGTGCAGTGAATGTCGTGGAATTGGACCATGTGACCTGGGCAAATCTCTTAATCTCCTTGTGCCTCAGTTTCTTCATCTGTAAAATGGGACAATAACAGTCCCTGTCTTGTGCGTTTGTTGTTAAAATGAGATCGGCTAATAGAGGTGAAGCGTATAAAGCAGGGCCCAGCATAATAGGGGCACAGCACTATTATCGTCGTCGTTATTACTGTTATTACCGATGGCATGGCACCCCCTTGCAAGGCTCCCTGAGCTCTGAGAGTGTGCAGATGCTGCCTCTGGGCACAGCTGTTGGAGGGGCTATCCTGCCTGGTGTAGAAGACTAGAATGACATTTACAAACGTCTGCTAGGCTCCTGCCCCATGGGATTTGCCCAAGGTCCCAGCTGGTGAGTGACAGGGTTGAGATTCAAACCCAGGTCTGCTGGCCCCAAAGCCCGTGGGTCTGGAGCTGGATGAGGTGGGATGAGGGAAGGGGAATCCAGAGACAGACACTGCTGTGGCTTCCAGTCTGTGGGGAGCCCAGGGAAGGTGGGCAGCTGTGCAGGTGGGCAGGTGAGCAGGTGCATGCGCGGGCCTCTGTGGAGTGGCCTGTGGGCCGAGTCTGGTGCCTTCTAAGATGAAGATGGAACTTTTCCGCTGAAGACAGTTCTCCTCCAACTTTTCCCCTGAGTTATCCCTGAGGGCAGAAGATGGTGAACATGTCACCCCGAGGGGTTTGGGGGTGCAGCCCGAAGCAGCTGCAGAGCCTGCAGGAGTCTTGGGTTTTATCTTCAAATTCATGCGCATTTTACATTCTGCTCCCTCTTATATTCCCCCCTGAGTAACAGGATGCCTGCAGAAGCTGCTCCGTGTTTATCTGTTCATCCTGGGGCTTTTCGTAAAGGGTCCTGGGGGTGTGAGCTCCAGTGTGGAAGCTCAGCCCAGATGGCAGGAGACGCTGGGGGCACCCTGGTCCCACCTGCATCGCAGGGCTTGGCAGGCAGAGCACCTGGTGCTGGGCGACACAGTGGTGCAGGAGGGAAGTGAGGCTGCACCGAGGTGCAGGGGTGTGGGGAGGGGGAGAGGCGTGCCCCTAACGCCCCTCCACGTGACACTGAACCAAGATAGCACCCCATGTACACAGACAGCAAGAGATCTAACTGTTTATCTATACTCATTAGGAACCACATTAGGTGACCTGTCTGTGGGTCAAAGCTGGCTGAGTTTCAGCAGCTTTATAGGCAGGAGACCGCATGGGCTGCGCTTGGCAGGACCCTCAGCCAGTGAGAGCCCCCTGCGACCCTGTGTTGGGTGCATTCTACAGTCTGTACCGTCTGCTCCCTGTGGCCTCAGTTCCTGTCCTCTGCTCTGTGTACCCGAGAGCAGTTTTTCCCCAAAACAGCAGGTGAAAAGGTGTGTGAGGGGCAAGGAGGGGCTGCCCAAGGACACAAGAGGAACTGTGCTTGTCACTAGTGCACAGGTTCTAGGGAGCCTTGGGTGCCTTCAAGGGCACAGCTGGGGAGCCCGAGGGTCAATCCGGGTGGGCGATTTAAGGGTTGGTGTCATAGACATCCTGGAGCCTGGGACGTCCAGCCACAGGTAGCTGGAGGAAGGAAGAGTGATTTGCAGCCTGAGACACAGCGACCAGATCTCCAGGGCACTGGCTGTAACAACTCCAATTGGCGTCAACTCCTTTCCCACTTTCCAGAACACCCCTGTGTCGATGGGTCCTGGGTCTACCTAGAGATGCACGCAGCGGGGCACCAACCCAGCAGGCTGGGTAGACTCTCAGTTTGGGATTCGGCTGGTGGGGATGGCTGGTGTGCAGATGACCAGGGGAAAGCTGGCAGAGCTGAGTTGCTCTGACCCGAGGCCTTTCATGCCTGCCCTGCTCAGTTATTGAACAAGGGCCGTCCCCAGGGGCCATCCATTCCTAGGGATTTCTGGCTCTCCATGGGATGCAACAAAGCTGCTCCAGTAGCCTGGGCCAGTCCTCATGGGGGTTTCATCTAAGACGTGGTCAAGCGAGTGGTGCCCTGGGGACATCCAGGGTGGGCCTGGTAAAAGTGGCAGCAGCCAGGATTGGGAGCCTCACCGTGTGCTTGCACCATGCCAGGTGCCTTCCGCGGTGGGAGCCCAAGTGCGCCCTGGCACACAGAAGGTGCTGCAGAAATGCTTCTGTGGTGAATGAAGGTCTTCCCTCCTCTGAGGAGGGCTTTTCCCCTTGCATTAGGGAGGATCTTGGGGGCTAGATAGCACCTCTTCCCTCGGGCTGTACAGCTTCTTCTGTGTGCATAAGCCTCAGACCCTGCCCCTCAGATGGCAGAGGCCAGAGACTGTCTCTGACATGAGGAGAAGTGATGCTGGGGGTGATACTAGGCTGTACAGCTTCTTCTGTGTGCATAAGCCTCAGACCCTGCCCCAGAGGCACTTGTCAGATGGCAGAGGCCAGAGACTGTCTCTGACATGAGGAGAAGTGATGCTGGGGGTGATACTCAGATGGCCTTTAGCTTAGGACTGGGCACATAGTGGGTACTTTATCAGGGAGAGCTGTTGCGGTTGCTATAGCTCCTGGTGACTGGCATCCTTGATTCTCCCAGGGGAGCCCAAGCAGAGGTTGGGGGGGCTGCTCCTTTGTGCAGAGGGCTCTGCCCCTGCCCAGAGGTTTGTGCAGGACAGTGAGCAGGCCCATGGGCCCTGGCCTTCCCCGTGTCTCAGTGGCTGGTGCACCAGGGCCCAGCAAGGACAAGGACATGGGGCCCTTCCTGCAGCTCCTGCTCACAGACTGACTCAGGTCTCTCTCTTCTGACCACCCAGGCTGCCAACCTGGGTTTATGTGGGGTTGATGATGGGGGACAGGGGGACAGAACTGTGGAAAGAACAAGGCTCTGGACTTCAGCAAATGTGGATGAATCTGGTGCCTCCCTTGCTGGCCTGGGGACCACTGACAGACTTTTCCCTGCCAGGAGCCTTGGTATCCTCCTCTTTCCAGTGGGGATAATCCTAGCAACCTAGGACAGTGCAATGGAGGGAAAGTGTGTCACATGGGGTGTCAAGTCCTAGCCCTGCCCTCAGTGACCATGGGCAAGTTACTTAACTGCTCTGTACCTTGGTTTGTGCATCTGTAAAATGGGGCAAGTGAAAACACCTGCTCTTTCTGGTGTCCATTGTGAGGAGAAAGTGAACAGGCCCTGTTTTCTGTTGCAGCCTGTGCCCTTGTGAGGCTGGCATGCAGGATGGCAGGACAGCCCAGCCACATGCCCCATGGAGGGAGCCCGAACAATCTCTGCCATACACCAGGGCCCACGCACTCTCCTGATCTCCAGGTAAGCCCTTTTCCTTTGTCTGCAGTGCACTGAAGAGTCTTTGAGGAACACAGATTTCTGAGGCTCCTTTGTCTGAGTCCCAGCCATTGGAGGAAGCCCCTTAGCATACCCAGACAGAACCTCTTCTTGAATGCTTCCAATGATGGGGAGCTCACTGCCTAATCTAGTGAGCCCTTCATTTAATTCAGCTACACGCAGAATCCTCCTCTGTGTGTGCCAAACTCTGGGCTGAGACTCCAGTCCCTGGTCCTGCCCCTGGGGGGTTTCCTTGTGAATGGATCGGCTTTATCTCAGAGAGATCAGCACTGGCTAGAAGGATACAGAGGGGCTGTGGAGGCCCCGAGGAGAGCGAGGGACTCAGGGGACTGGGTAGGGGTGTGCTGGGGGTCAGAAGCTCTTCCTTACACTGAGCCAATGTCTGCCTCCCTTTCTGGTCTTACCCGTGTTCTGACCCACTTCAGTCTCTTTACCTAGAACCAGCAAGGCTTTGGGGAATGCTGGTTTCCTACATACCTTGGAGAGCCAGGCAGCCTTCTGGAGCTTTTCTAAAGGTGGCTTCTGGGTTTCTGAGCTGCCTTACACACCCCAAGCTTTGCACATGCTGTTCTGTGGGTCTGGAATGCCCTCCCAACTCCTCATCCAAATCTCAGTCCAAATGCTGCTGCTTCTAGGGAGACTTCCTTCCTGTTCCTTTGAGCTGCCTCTGCACCTATGCGCACACACCTGGGTCCTGGCCATGATCATATCTCACGGGAGGACAGGTTCCTGGGTCTGTCTCCCTTTCTAGACAGAGAATTCCTTTGGAGTGGGGTTTTGCCCGTGGCACTATCGTGGGCCAGGCCCAGAGGAGTCCCTCAATGCCGCTGAGTTAATGAAGTGCAGATACACGTGCAGTGCACCCACTCAGGACGTGGCTGTGTGTGGGACAGACCCAGGACTGCTCTCAGGGACCACACAGCCTTATGGGAGAGAAAGATAAACCCAGCAGAAGAAATTCAGGGGCTCATGGAGCCCCAGCAAAGCACCGGATCCGAGCTGGGGGACCAGAGAGGCTTCTTCAAGGAGGTGGCATGCGAAGTCCCGGCACGGACAGAGAGCTTATCTGGGCAGGCTGGCTGAGGCCAGGTCCTGTAGAGTCCTGTGGGCAGCCTGGAATGATGGAAAGTATTTGTCCAGGGTTGGTTTTTTGTCCCAAGGTTGTGAGACGTAAATTAAGGGACACTCAGAGACAACCACCTTCCTAAACTGTGGAAAGCTTGTCACAGCTTCTATCTGCCTAGTTGTGTTGGAGAACTTCAGGTTGGCTGATATTTGACCTTATGCCATGTACAGTTGTGCAGGTTATATACTGCATAAAGGTGCCTGGCCGAGGAGGCGGGTGGGTCTGAAATCCTTCTCCTGTGCTTGCACTGTCACTAAGCCATGCTTCCTGGTGCAGGGCTGCACCAGCCCTTGGGAAGGGGAGCCACCATAGATTCACATGGAGGCGACATAGGAACTAGTGGACACTGTATGTGTGTGTGTGTGCGCATGGGTGTGGGCGTGTATGTGTACACAAACCAGCATGTTGAGGGTCCATGGGCATCTGTACTATCCGTAGTCTTCCATTTCTGTTACTGGCTGGTACACAGGGGCCCATTTCCTAGGTAGAATTGGGGATGCAGATCCCAGAAAGCTGGGAAGACCTAGGACACTGTGGGTCCAGAGTCCACAAGGACATCTCGCTGATGGCTGGGGGCAGCGAGGCCTCTTTGGATAATGTAGCAATTTGTCATATTAAGTCATTCACTAACAATTGAATCCCACTTGATTAATCTCCCAGAATTAGCCAGTTGCGTTTCGAGCAATTAGGGTTAATTACAGCCTCATTTGGCAGAGGAGAGAGTCCTGTAATTATTTCACAATCAAGGCAAGGAGGTGGAGGGCTGCCGTGGCCGCAGCGTCCACAGCGTCCCATCGCACATGTTGGAGTGGGTAATGACACAGTTAAGTGTAATTAGATACGATTATTCAGTGCTGGGCTGTTCAGGGCAGTGACTGTCAGGTGAAGATGCCCCCGGTGCCACCAGCATCTAGCTGGGCTTGCAGCATCGGGCACACAGCAGAGCTGGCTCTGTGCAGCTCCAGGTCAGGTGGGAATGGAGATAGTCAGGCACTTTCTCTCTCCTCGGCTCATGAAGCCTGGTGTTTAAACCCCATCTGGGGAGACATCACAGCCCGAATCTTGCCTGTTTCAGGTCAGGGGCATTTTCTTTTATGGCAGGAGGGGTGACTGTTTCCCTGAAACCGCCCGTAGAGGAAGGTGCCAGGTCCCACAGGCTGAGGTTCTGTTCATAAAGGCATTTTCTTTTATGGCAGGCAGTGTGGCTATTTCCCTGAAACCGCCCGTAGAGGAAGGTGCCAGGTCCCACAGGCTGAGGTTCTGTTCATAACTCCAGTCCTCACCAGCTGGGTGATGTTGGGTAAATGACCTCGCTGAGCCTCAGTTTCCTCATCTGTAAAATAGGGTGATAACAGCACCTCCCTCATGAGGCCGCTGTGAAGACTGAGATATATTTTATTTTTTTTTCCTTTTTGTCTTTTTTTGTGTCCGGCAACGGATCACAACCCTCAGTGTCGTGTATTTTCATCGGGAATGAAATACAAGGCTCAGCTGACCCACTAGGAACCACATGAATTTCCAAGAAGGGGAAAGGAGTTCTTGCCTGAGAAAGCCCTGGCTAATGTGTCTTCCATCTGGAAAGTCTTTGCAGACCTGCGTGGGATGTGCCAAGTTCAGTTATATTTGGGCACTATTCCGAGAGAAGAGCATTGCATAGTGTTGCAGGGCATGGGGCAGCTATTGCTAGGTAGGCATCACACAGGCCAAAATCTTTAAGAAAATCTTCCCGAAGGAATGATGGTAGGTGGATAATGTTTAATGACCAAATATTAATGGCCGTTAATACTCAAGTAGTGTTTGCTAAGTGTTGTAAATTCAGCAAGTGTTTGTTTCCTTTCTGCTGTGGGCCTACCAGGTTCCTGGTGCCTACTCTTGGGGGGCTCACAGTCTGCTGGGGAGGCCTAATGTAAATAAAGACAGTGTGGGAAGGTGGACGCCCCCACCGAGGGATGGACAGATGCTGAGGGAGCCTGGAGAATGGGGCAGCTAGTTCTGCCAGTGGATGATGAGGCATTTGGGACAGGACAGGGACAGGAGGTGATTGCAGGAAGAGAAAAGAGCCCAGTGCAGGCCCNGTGAGCGGGAACCGGTCTGTATGTGGGATCTGAACCCTCGGCGGGAGTGCCACCGCGCTCGGAAGCGGCGCACTGTAGCAGTGCACCACCGGGCCGGCCAATATATTTTAAACATCTAACATGGCACCTAATGTTGTGTGTATCGAGGAGATGGTATGTCACGGATCTTATTCTTATATTTTAAAAATCATTTTAGTTTTCACAGCTAAAGACCCCAGAGCTGGATAATATCCCCAGTGTAGGAAGAACATAAACTATAGACACTCCAGCCATGGTTTTTGTTAACCTTCTACACCCATCGCTAGTGGTTTGTTCATTTCAGGAAGCTTTCTAGCTCTGAGAGCCGTCAACACACGAAAATATATTTGCCGAACCCAGCAGAATCCTGTATGAGATTCGTATACACTTAGGAAAGCTGAACGCACTTGCTTTTATTGAGGTTTCTAACATATGAATGAATGGAGTTGAGAGAAGGAGCTTAAAATGCCCCATGCTTTATGATGTTACCAATTTGCTACAGAGTATTTTCATCGGGAATGAAATACAAGGCTCAGCTGACCCACTAGGAACCACATGAATTTCCAAGAAGGGGAAAGGAGTTCTTGCCTGAGAAAGCCCTGGCTAATGTGTCTTCCATCTGGAAAGTCTTTGCAGACCTGCGTGGGATGTGCCAAGTTCAGTTATATTTGGGCACTATTCCGAGAGAAGAGCATTGCATAGTGTTGCAGGGCATGGGGCAGCTATTGCTAGGTAGGCATCACACAGGCCAAAATCTTTAAGAAAATCTTCCCGAAGGAATGATGGTAGGTGGATAATGTTTAATGACCAAATATTAATGGCCGTTAATACTCAAGTAGTGTTTGCTAAGTGTTGTAAATTCAGCAAGTGTTTGTTTCCTTTCTGCTGTGGGCCTACCAGGTTCCTGGTGCCTACTCTTGGGGGGCTCACAGTCTGCTGGGGAGGCCTAATGTAAATAAAGACAGTGTGGGAAGGTGGACGCCCCCA